TAAGAGATTGATAAGTCACTCATACATATTGTGGACTGGGGTTTATAGTGCTCCATCTGACCCTTAAAAGTTTGCCAAATTGGACCGGCGCGTAGAATAATAAAGTAAAACTGTATGATAGAGGTTTTCGTAGAAAAGGAAGAAATAACATGTTCCAAAAATTGATTGAATACAATGAAAAGTGCAAAGTTTTTTAGACAATAACAAAAAGTTGATAAAGTTAGAAGGGATGGATGGAGTATTAATTACGAGGCTGTTTGAGTGTTTGGCGGTCTAAAGTTTTTGTTTCACACTTACTAGTACTAGAAAAAGAAATAGAAATTGTTCTAAGAAGGACTAAAGTTTCCCTAAAAAACACAAATTGGACTAATACTTTTTAAATCCCCCTAGTAGAACTAAACATTGATTTCTACCCTAAATACTCATAAGGGTATTAATTCATAATGAAATGTTTTAATTCATAATAAAATCGTAAAAGTAATAAAAATCATAAGAATAAAAAAAATCATAAAAAAATAAAAAAATATTAAAATATTTATAAAATAAAAAAAATTAAAAATATTTTTTTGGAATTTTAAAAAAAAATTTAAAAAGTAAAAACCCATAAAAAATATAAAAAATATGGATACCTTTCCCACTGCCTCCCAGAATCACCATATCCGATCGGTGAAAATTCTGCCATTTTTTGTAAAAATGTCACTTTTTTCTGAAAATGTCAAGAAAATAACATTATTACTCTTCATAATGCCAAAATTTTCGTTGAATCTGCCATTATTATGGCATAACTAAAAATGTTGGAAAAATTCTTCCGGTGATGGGAGCTGGTGGTGCTAGGGTGGAAGAGACGGCGGTGGTTTTTTTACATTTTTTTAATTTTTAGCTTTTTTTTAATTTTTTTAAAATATTTTAAAAAAAATTATTTTATAAATATTTTATTAATTAATCCCTCCGTCCCTTAAAACTTTACCAAGTTTGACCGGCACGGGGATACATAAAATAAAAACTATGTGATAGAGGTTTGTGCAGAGGAGAGAATTGATTGTAGCCATAAATTCTTTACTTAAAATAGAAAGTGACAAAGTTAGCGGGACATCCAAAAAAGGAAAGTTGGCAAAGTTTTAAGGGACGGAGGAAGTAATTTTTTTATTTTTTTACGATGTGTATTATTTTTTATGCTTTTATTATTAATTAAAATATTTTAAAAGCTACAAAGGTATATTTGTCCAAACGCACATAAATAGTCCTATTGAGGGATTTAAAACATGTAGTTCTATTTGTGCTATGTGGCTAGTTTTTAGTCCTATTTAGGTAATTCACTCAAAAAGAAATTTGTAGGCTCCGCGCACTTAGAGTTTTTTCCCGTAATAATGCTAATTAAATAAATAATTCTCGAAATACTGATGGGTTTAAAATAATTCCCAAAATACTGTTGGGTTAATCGTGGTTAAGAAAATCCGCCACTTGAAGTGGCGGCTCTTCGCTTATAGTACAAAAGCCGCCACTCCAAGTGGCGGCTCTTCTCTTACGGCCCATTTTGTACATATATAAAACGCAGTATGTTTCAAGAATTTGTTTAACTGCCTTCCCGATTGAATTTTGAGCTGAACTTTGATATGCATAAACTAGACTTGATGAGGAACATGATCCAAAAAATTCATCAAAAAATTACACCGGAAACACCCTCTGATAGTGTTGTCCGCGGGGGGTTCCAGTCAGGACGTCATGACAACAGGGTGGTCCGGCCACATCAATTTGAGGTGGTTCCCGGTGGTATGTTTTGATGAAATTTTTTGTGTATGTTCTTCATAAAGTCTAGTTCATCCATACCAAATTTGAGAAAAACATTCAATCCGAAATGCCGTCAAATGATTTTTGAAAGATAACTACGTCGGATTATACATATAAAACGCAGTTATCTTTAAAAAATGATTTGACAGCTTTCCCGATTGAAATTAGTTCTGAAATTTGGTATGGATTAACTAGATTTGATTAATAACATACACACAAAAATTCAGCAAAACATCCCACCGGGAATCACCTCAAATTGAGGTGGTCGAATCACCGCAAAACATCTCACCGGAACCCCCCGCGGACAACACCATCAGATGGTGTTTCCGGTGGAATTTTTTGATGAAATTGTTTGATCATGTTCCTCATCAAGTCTAGTTTGTGCATACCAAATTTCAGCTCAAAATTCACCCGGGAAGGTAGTTAAACAAATTTTTGAAACATACTGCGTTTTATATATGTACAAAATGGGCCGTAAGAGAAGAGCCGCCACCACGGTTAACCTAACAGTATTTTGGGAATTATTTTAAATCCAACAGTATTTTGGGAATTATTTATTTAATTAACATTATTTCGGGGGAAAACTCGCGCATTTAATAATTAGTTAATAATGACACAAATTTTGCAATTGCCAAGTCATCCCTCACAAAAACAAATATATAAAACGTTGATTTAACCGAATGAATTCTCGTAGCAAGTACAAACTAGTTTATAAAACGTTCAATTTTTTCGTTTAGCCGGTAAACTCCCGGTACTCAATTGAGCTATTGATATGAGTACATGGACCTATTTGACCCTTTAGCCTTTGAAAAAACGAAAAAATTGAACGATTTTGAAGAGTTGGAGGATAGGATTGGACCTTTTTTTAGTTCGGATACCCAATTGAGCTATTGATATGAGTACAGGGACCTATTTGACCCTTTAGCCTTTTATTTATTTTCTCAAAGTTTCCTTCAATTCTTTCATTAGTAGATAGCAATCTATTCTAAATGTTAATTTGTAGGACAGACCATATTCAACTAGCCCAACTACTTTGAGACGCAATTTCAAAATTTTAACAAATGGAGTATTTTAGTTTATTAGCAGCGTGAAAAAACTCTAATGAAATAAATTGGACACGTAAAATGATACTACGTACCGAGTACTACCTGTACCAAGTACCAACTTCTTTATGTAAATACCAAGTGACCCAAAAAAGTCATATATTTGTGAGTTGTGACTGTCATATCATATTTTATTTTGTAAGTACACTACTATCTTTCAACTTATTTATTGGTGTAAATCTATAATGCTTAAGCATGCGTGAAATACATTTGTTAATTTGCGAGTATTTTATGGATTTTCTAATACGTATTCCAGCCCAATTCTTAAACTCCTCAAACATTACTAACATAGACATGAGAGAAAATCTATGTTAAGACTATGGTAAGTTAAAGTCTAGGATAATGTAATTATTTTCAATTTTTTAGTTATTTTTTTCATTTTTCATATTCCAACCCAGTTCTTAGCTCCTCAAACATTACTGACATCGATCGACATCGGGGAGGATCTACGTTAAGACTATGGTAAGTTAAAGCCTAGGGTAATGTAATTATTTTCAACTTTTTAGTTAATTTTTTCATTTTTCATATTTAGCTCATTCCGCTAACGTTAAAACCTAGTATAATTACTCGTCAGCCCAACTTAATCCAAATTCTTGGATCCAGCCTAACTGAGCAACTCAAGGTTAATTAATTGCATTCATGATCCTTTGCACCAACATAATGATAGGAATCATTTTATTTATTATTATTAAATTAATGTTATCTTTTAGTTTGGGCCTATTATTAGTAGAGTACTTAGTAGAGTTAGTATGGGCTTAATAAGGATTTAATTGATTTGAGCTTGGTTAGAGTTTCTCATAGAAGGCTATATATACCCCTTGCCAGGGTTCATTCTAGAGCAGCTTGGAATAAAATTGGTTTTTGCCTTTTGGCTCTGAGCAATAGTATTTTTATCGTTGATTATCTGGGCAACGGTTTACCCCGTTGATTTTATTTTTTCTGTTACACAAAAATTATAACCGAAAGAAGCAAAGCAAAAAACTAAAGCAAAGGAAGAAGAGCCCAATAATTAGGGGTGGGATCAGTCCGGTCCGGGTCGGGTTTTCGCTAAACCCGGAAATTACCCGTAACGCATCGGGTTATGAAAATTAGGGACCGAAAAAAGACCACTATATTCGGTCCAAGTCGGGTTTTTTGTAGCCCGGGTTCGGTCCGGGTTCGGGTTGGGTCGGTTAAAGCCCAAATGTGAAATCACTCATTTTTCTTTTATATTTTAAAATCAATTTTCAAATAAAATTAATAAAAAGTACAAACCACAAATAAAATTAATAAAAATCACAAATATTAGTCTCCAAAATCACCAAGAATATAAATCCAAAGAAGACAATTATCATAATATTTTGTTTAAGATGCATAAAAATAAGTAATATAGGTGTTCTAAAAATGTTATGAAATAAAATTTATGGATAAAAATGTAACTAAAGTTAATATAAATATGTTTTCATGGTCATTACGGTACATAAATTGAACATATTTGTAGTCACTAAAAGTTATTAAGTCATTTTTTCGTCCATCATGATTATAATCATAAATTAGAAATGAATTTATAAATTATATTGGTATATTATATTGATTTTATATTAAGGCTAATTGTTTCGGGTTTTATCGGTCCGGGCCGGGTTATAGATTTCAGGGCCCGTTAAAGAGCCCGAAGTTTCGGGTTCGGTCCAATTTTTTTTATTCGGACCGGTCAAAAAGAAAAAACCCGGACCGATATCATAATTCGGACCGGACCAGGGCCGGTTTCCGGGTTTCGGTTCGGGTTTTCCCACCCCTACCAATAATAGGAAAAAATAATAATGTTATACATAAAATAATGTTTCTCTGTTCCATAATTAAATTCTCACTTTTCTTTTCGAAATGCTATACAATCAAGTTCCTACCTCTCTTTTTGGTATTGTTTTACCTCTATTTTTTCCTATTATTGGACACTTTAGCCCTAAACTTTATATTGGACTCTATTTGATATGGAGCAATTGATATCTATACTCGCTTTAATCTTCAAATTAACATGTTTTTCTTGGGTTGCAGAAGATATTGATATTTGGTGAGACCTCAATTTAGCCCAAAGTAGGTCATGAATGATAAAAATACATTTATTATTAGGACCAAATATGTATGAGAATTCATTTGGAACCATATTGTATAATCAATGACCAGATTGAGTAATATAATGATGCAACGCTGAGGAATAGACCGGGTAGTGAACCTACTTAGGAGTAGACCCGATCCTGTTCTGATTCTAAACGGGTCAATTCTGAGTCACATAAGGGTGGTACAGATCCTGGAACCAAGTAGAGCCAGCAAGGTTTGATTCTTAACGCATTTTTATACCAGAAATACAAAAGAATTAAAACCAGTCCTAATTTAGTAGACTGGTACCATTTTCGACAAATGTGTCTGTTTCGGTCTGGAATTGGCAACCCGGTCCAGTCCCTTGCCAAAGCCGGTCATTCTTGGTCTGGTTCTGAAACTTGGTCCACTCCAAAACCTAATAAACGTAATACCTTACATGATTAATGTTCCAAAATAGTGAAATCCAATTTTAACATGAATAACTACGTAGGCAAAACCATGCAAGGATTACTGAAGTTAGAAACAAAGGTCACGTTTTGTTTTATTGACATTAGACCAATCCAATGTTTATATGTATCTACAGCTTCATATAGTATGTAGGCAATGTAAGACAACATATGCAGATGATGTCTATCTGTGTCTCATCTCTATCTTCTCTTCCTCTTTCGCCCCAGCACTTTCGCCCATACAAAAAAAGCGCACAATAATTTCCTCATGCCCTCATTGTATTTGAATTGTTGCATTTTATGGCCTGCAATTTAACCATTCAAAGACAAGACATGATAATCATTTTATTCTACACCAAGACAGGTTTTAGTCCAAGGAAAATATGTTCACTTACCAATTATACCAATTAAATCATTTTAAGTGGTGATGCTTAACGTCAAAGTGATTTTGCGGTCAATGCACCAGAGCTATTATCAGATGGCACTTCATTTTGAGCACCCTTAAATAAGTAGCTCAAGAAAAGAGCCTTTCCATCCACCCTTTTCTAGACTTTGAAAAAGATTCTCGGTATCTTAATAAAAAGCACACACCATGTCAAAACAGATTTAATTCTATAAACAAGAATAATCATAAGAAAAAATGCGAAAAACAACTCCAATATAAGTATGTAACTCATACTTCATCGACATTGCCCCGAATCGAGACCTCAAAGTGTCTGAGAATGACTGGAAATCAGAAGGACCTGCCCTCTCTTGATTTGTCATGGAAGACTTGCCAGAAGAGCTTATGTATACATATATATATATACAGAAATTAGAGGGAACAACTACTAAAGTATGGGTCAAGGTACCTGGGCGGATCCTCTATTCTATCAGTTTGTTCAATTTAATCCCTTTAATTATGTTCAACTTAGCCCTGCACCATATAATTCATTATAATTAAGGACAACTATTCACAGAGTTAATTATCTTCATTACTTTTTATGATTTGGCAGTGATCACTAACAACACACTGATTTGACATTTCTACATTGTTAAACAACTTATCATTTACTTAATTAACTTATATGTTCCTTATGGTATGGTGCCATGGCACAATACATGCCACAGTCACATGATCAGAGTGATTTAAAAAATTAAGACTAACAGATACTCCGTATAACTAATGGTGTTTATGATTGTTCTTGATGATTACATTTAACTATATAATGCAGGGACTAAATTGAACACAATTAGAGTAGGTGGATGACATTGAGCAAAGTGATCTAGTAGAGGGATCTTTCAAGTGATTTGACATAAAATATGCCACATATCCAATTTAACAAAAGCTTAAGTTGCCACTACCTACTACCAACAGAGATTTCTGGATAACTGTTTAGCATGTGGACAGATGCAGATGATGAAGCAACAACTGGATTTCTAGATCCCTCCCTCCTTTGATTGTGGTGAGTTCTTCCAATTGCAGCAGCGGCAGCCATACGGTGCATGACGTGCTCTTCAAGTTCACTGTTACTTATGCCCACCACAAACTGTATTACAATAACAAAGAAAAGCGAGGGAGCATTAAGCATTCAAGCTTGGCAGATTAATTATCATATCATGGGGATGTAAAGAATATTCAATTCAAATAAGAGGGGTAGCTTACTTGTGGGAATTCAATATTTCCCTGAGCAGGGTGGTAAACTATTGATCCAGTCCTTGGAGGATTAGAATTTATATTCCTTTCATGTTCCACAGCCTCAAGTAAGTCTTGGCTGTTGTACGGCATAAAGCAGAACGCAAATACTTAGGGATAAAAGGCGTAAATGAGGAACAACGATTCACAATTATGAAAACTAAAGCATAAAGAGAACCAGTGAAGAACCTCTCTGAATCTTCCATACTAATTTTTTGCCAGCACATTGGGCAACTAGAACTCCTTTGACACCTATTTGTAAAAAGAATGGAATTTTTAGAACTCTTATACATTGTCTATTAGGCTTAGATACATTTCGAGTCCCAGGCACCCTTCAAATTAGTGTTTTTTGTTTTAGGTTATTTCAACTCTTTTCATTCTTTTAATTTATGTTTCTCTTCATTTTAGCCCCTCCTCGACCCTAGCAACTTCAGTTTGACACCAGAAAAAGACATTACTAACAAGTTTCGGGTATTTCTTCTTAAAGTCATTCCAACAATACTTTAGCTTTATTTTTTAAAAGTACCTGAAACCTACACTAAAGACATGAAAGATTAATTTCATTTAGTTTCATATTCCTTAGTAGTCTCCAAAAAATTATACAAGGGAGAAGCGAAAAGTTTATAGCAAAGTTCTGTAAGGGGAATTATATTTTTAAAGAAAGATTGCCTTGGAGTTAGAGAGGACTAAAAAGAAAATAATATATATTGCGGGATGAAAAAAACTGAAGAGATCTAAAACGGAGAAAGCTATATTTATGAGGTGCTAAAACATATTTGAGCCTTTCACGTGAACCACAAGCGAATGCATTTGGATACCCCTCCATCCCGTTAAGATTGTCTTATCTTTTCTTTCAGTCCATCCCATACCAAATTTAGTAAAGCTTGTGTGGTTCTAAATCATTCTTACTTTATCAATTCAATATCAACCACATAAATCCACTTCTCTTAATAACCGCACCTAACGCACCACATTCTCATGTGCTAAAGTTAGTGGGACAGAGAGTAATACCGAAGTACATGAAAAGACTTACCCTTTTAAAAAGACAACTTTACTGTTTTCTCCGTGTCTTGAAGTGGTTACTGGTTAGAGATTTTAATGGACTATCCAAGCACAACCTTTTCCACCATCCATCATGTATCAGTTTTTTTTTCCTTTTCTTATAATCTAGACTTTGGTTGGAACTATATTTCCCCATTGGGTGTGGGAGAAAACATCACAACTTCATTAAATTTCATGATGTGGCAAAAGAATCACTGCCAGAATACAATGGTTGCACTCTGCTGAGCATCATGGTAAGCACTGTTCTAAAAATCACTTAAGAATATATGTTTGTATATATTCTTAAGCTAAGTAGTTAAATCGCTACTCGGTAGCAACTCGGTCAATGGCCGAGTAGCGAGTAGGACCTAGTACTCAGGATTACTCGGTGACTACTCGGTCCTATATTAATTAATTTTAAAAATATAAATATTCAAAAGTATAGTAATATATTAATCTTAAAATGTTTAGATATGAAAAAAAATCCTAATGAAGAAGAAACGAGAAGGAAGATCAAGCCAGGGAGGAGAATAACTTACCTAGCCACTGTTGGAATGAGCAGTTGTATAAAATACTTTTAAACCTATACATTTTAAGGTTTATTTCCAATTTTTAAAATACCCACTCATTATTTATAAATTTCATAATAATATCCCTAAACAACAACAACAACCAAGCCTTAATCCCAAAAGAATATGGGTTCGGCTAACATGTATCGATCTATGATATTGATGCCAAACGGAGAGACGGACAAGCAGGGGGAAAAGTAAGAGAAAAATGGATAAAATAAAGATAAATAAATATAAGATAACAATAACATAAGAATGTAATAAAGATAAAAGAGCATAAAAAGCTAGAAGATAAAAATAACATAAGAATATAAAAAGATAAAGAAGATAAATGATAAAAGAAAAGAGAGGAAATGTAGAAAAGATATCAATCGTCCACACGGATGTGCGCCCTCCACTTTGCTCTCTCCAAAAAACTTTACAGATTTAACAAAAAACAAAATTTTCATGGCTAGTCGAGTAACTCGGCGAGTTGATAACTTCCCCGAGTTGAGAAACTCGCCGAGTACTCGGTGAGTAACTCGGAAATATTATACGGACCGAGTCAAGTAACTAATCGGCAAGGTCACCACCCGAGTTGCGAGTAGTCGCCGAGTACTCACCAAGTAGATAACACAGTCTTAAGAGATATATGTACCAAAGGCGTCTAGATTCGTTGAACATTTTTTTACTTTTTTATTTTATTTTTCTAAGAGATATATGTATCTTAAACTTTAACCACAAATATGAAGATAGCTATTTGTAGATTAAGATAAAAACTATACTTCGTATATGTTTATATATATTCTTAAGTTTTATTATTGTTTAATATTAATTACACAATGAAGTTAAGTGATTAGTCATAACGTATTATTAAAGTATAATGAATCAACCATTCTTGCATGTCAATGTGTGTGTATAAACACACAAACATAATAGTACTTATCATATTTATGCAAAAATATTAATAAAAATATAATTTATATGTCCCGACTAATCCCCGCCTATGCGTTAGGCACTTGGTTGGCGCTCCACTAGCACCTAGCGCGTTTACAACATTGATGGTAAGCGCCTAAGTGGGCATTGGGCATAAGACCTATAAATACACCACTTCTTCATTTTCATTTTGATGAAGATAATCTAGTGGCATGCATGCAACCCAAATTCACAAAGAAGAAATTTTAGTAGGTTAAACTAGAATAGGGAAATGCATAATCCTTGAAAACACATGGCCCATAAAGCTTAATTCATTGAATTTTGATTGACGGTGCTGCTTCTCATTGAAACATGGATTGATGAGCTACCGGAGTATAAGAATTTAAACGGTGTTGCAAATACTGATCCTCTAGGTGCATGTGAATGACAACAAAATCCGACTCATCTGCATCACAACTAGATAAAGAGGTTGATGGAGTATATGGGTCTGGACCCCAGGGCCCACATACTCGGGAGAACAGAAGGTAACACGACCACCTGGTGGGACCCTCGTCGGCCAGATGACCCCCATCGGTCAGAAAGAAGTCTACTCAGAATGTGATCCAGAAGCCGGGAAGAGTCGGATGACCTCGTCGGCCGGGTCTTCGTCGGCCATGCCCTCGTCGGCCATAGACAGTCTCCAGGACAGGATCTACACTTAATCTTTTCTATGTACTTTGTATCCGGCCGACCGGCCCATTAGTGGCCCTATTGTAGATGAGCCTCCCAAGTCCAAGACTTGGGAGCCCAGCCCTAATTTTTCCTATAAATACTCCCTCTGGGAGTAGTTGTAGGGGTTCACAATTCATTAATACAGAGCAATTATACTACTTCTCTCTCTAGCTCTCACTTCTCTCTAGACTCATAGTCTATTAGAGGTGGTTGCACAACTTAAACTCAGTCTTAAACTCCGAATAAAAGATAAGAGAAAAACAGAAAACACTCTCAAAACTACTTCAACACACATAGAATACAGTAAAAAACACAGCATCATCTTATTCCTCAATTTGATTATGTCAACTCTGAAGACATTACGCCCACCATCCCAAAGATCCAGAATAGTTCACTCGATTGACTTTATATGGCTTCAAATGCCATAAGCAAGAAAAGTAAAGGTACATACCATTCCAGAATGCACTGAAGATGAAAACCGTGCTTGCAATGAGTAGCCTACAAAGAATGTAAATTATAAGGACTTTAAAGTGTATATGCTTTAAGGAACTAGGTGACCATGTAGAGAGGAACATAAACCAGCACACACAACTTTTATAGCTCAATGCAATACAAAATGTGATTAATGGGAATAGTGTTTACTGTTGAAGGATCACTCTCAGAGAAAGTCTCAAGGCAAATGCTGCAAGAATCATCACTTGCGTCCTGAATTCCTCCTTCCACAAATGCTAATGCAGATGTTGCTTGACTTCCTCTCTTCGTGACCTCTTTCATTCTTGGAACCTTGTGAAAACAAAGACCCAACCATAGCTCATTTGTCATGAAGTGCTTTTTATGTATTTATTTATTTAAGATTATGAAGAGCAACATAGAATGTATAGAAAGCCATTTCGGCTACAGTATACTACTATATCATTCGTCTAGCTAATGATGGGGAGGAAATATAATCACATACGGAGTATTTTCCTAAAATAAATAAATTGGCAATTTAACAAATAAATTTCTCCCCTCTAGAAAAACTTGAATTGCACTATCTTCAAGATGAAATTTTCTAATGTCGTTTTTTTTTGCAAAAAACCAAATCATATAAAATGAGAGGCATCAAGATCATCAAAAGCTCAACCTTTTGAGATTAGAGCAATTCACATCGTGATAAAAAAATCTCCATAAAAAATCAATACAAGCAATCGAAATCGAAATGTGGTTCACCGCATTACATTTCTTTGCCAATAGTTAATTTACCTGGGTTTAAAGTTAGGTAAATGTCCTGATTAGGATCTATAATAAAATTCAGAGTTCCTCTCCGCAGGAAAAAATCAAATTTGAATATAACGTTCTATAAGGCCCGCAGCGGAACCCCAAGAACGTATCGAGAGAGGAACTCCAGGGCGATAATGCAAAATGCTTGTGCAGCTCTGCGGAAGGGAAATGCTTAAGAGAGTGTAATGTATTTAGGAATTATGTCAAAATTTTAAAAGTTCATCAATTTTAAAAGTTTAGGTGTATTCGATATGGACTTTTAAAAGTCTACAAAAGTCTAAGTGTATTCAATGTAGACTTTTAAAAGTCTATAAAAATCTAGTCATATTCAAAGTTCCGTTCATTCGTATGAATTTCTAAAATCATGTATTCTCGGACTTTTAACTCATTTTTAGTACATTAATTCTCTTCGATTATCTCTTCTCCTCACTAAATATTTCCGTGGACTTTTCTTATATCGGTTCTTCATCCCGTCCCTCCACCCCACCCCGCCAACTCTTCTCTTCTTTAGTCAAGTCACCTCTTCCCCTTCGATCTTTCTTCTTCTTCAGCCTAGCTCGCTCCACCCCTCTCCTTCCATTCTTTTTCTTCTTCAACTTTTTCTTATGCTTCATTTATTCTTGTAGAACTTTGTGTTGCTATATGAATTACATTTGTTTCATTTATTTATTTATATATTTGTTTGTCTGTTTGTTTCTTATCATACTCTGTATTATACAGAGGAAATTATTCAGGGTAGGACTAAAACATACGGAGTTGCATTCTTCTTAAAGTATGATCATATGTTTGATTTTCCTTAAATAGGACTAAATATTACATATTCACCCCTAATTAAATTAATTAATATAAGTAATTGTCCATAATTCCCTTGCATAACCAAGTCGACTTTGTTGGTGGCAGATCAGTCTGATGACGACAACGGGGAACTCAAGTGACGGAGGCGGACGAGCAGATTGGTAGCAGCGGCCTAGGTGAAAATTTCGACGACCAGCAGTGGTGGTTCGCATTTAAAAGTCTATTGACTTTTTGAAAGTCAATAAACTTATCCATGGATTTAAAAGTCCATAGAATTCATTCATAAAAAAGTCTATGGATTTAAAAGTCCATTGACTTTTTTAAAAGTCCACGGATTAAAAAAAATCCACCACAATCCATATTCATAAATGTCTGACTAGGCGGCTATCTAGTTTTTTTTTCTCTAAATCAGAAATTATCCCAAATAGGAGTAAAACTAGGATAAAAAAATACTTCCTCCGGTCCTTATTAAACTTTACACTTTGACTTCACACATATTAAGGAAATAAATTTGACTTTACTGTAGAATACACCGTTTGACACTATTTAGCACTGTTTTGCACTTTTTGGTGTAGATTTGTTTGCCTAATAAGGCAAATAAGAAAGTGTAAAGTTTAATATGGGACGACCCTAAAAGGAAAGTGTAAAGTTAATTAAGGATCGGAGAGAGTATGACTTCTTATGTTTTTATTCTCAAATAGGATCAAATCACTCCTATCATAAACATAGGGAATTTCTCATTCCATTACTACCACTGCTTTGTTATCCGATGGATCAACACCGCAAAACACATCAATCAATTCTTCTCCCCCTTCACACTATCATCTCATCTCTTTTTGTCAATTCTTACCATCAATCGATTGTTTCTGCCATACATATTAGATCGATTTCATCGCCGACCTCATCCCTAGCTGCCGACGTTGACGACGACTCGACTGTACGCACACCACCGTTTGGTCAGGTTTCCTCCCCTGCCTCCCCCTCCCCCCTCCCCCCCTCCTCCACCACCACCATCATCCTCCTACTACTATTATTTTGTTTTTTGGCTTTGAAATTGATTTTTCTAATTTTTCTTCTATTAATCTTTTTTTTTTCTGGCATTCAATTTGTTGATTTTTGGTCTTCTATTTCGCATTTCCGTTAACAAATTTTTGTGTTTTTAATAAATTTCAATTTTCCAGATTTTGGATGATGGAATAAAATTTTGCCAAGTTATGGCACAAATGAGCACACTGACTATCGTTTGTGGCAGAAAAGATTTTTTGTAAATCTGCTTTTCTGATGTTTTGTGACTAGCTTCATAATTTTGATTTTTTATTGTGTTAGAGTGTTTATTCCATTTTTATAAAATTCAACATTTGGTTGGTATTTCATTTTTTTGCCAAAAGTATGGCAGTTTGTGGTGTTCTTCCAAGATAAATCTGTCACTTTTTTGACATATCTGAAATCTCATATTAATGACACATTTGTAATCAATCTTCAAGGCTAAATCTGCCAACTTAACGGCAGATCTATGACACTGAGTTGTGACGGCGGTGGTGCTCGACGATGAGTGGTGTGGCCCTGGATTTAACATTGGCGGCAATAAGGGAGTTATGATGGCAGCGAAGGATGGTAACACCAGTTAGGCGGTTATGATGTACCAACAGGGATGCAGTGGTAGGCGGTGCCGGTGAGGGGTGGCGGTAAATGATGGCACCGGCGAGGGGTGGCGGTAGATGGTGGCGGCGGAGGGTGAGGCGGCGAACGGTGACGGCGGTGTGCGAGGCTACATCTCCAATTTGCCTAAATATTTTTTTGTGGCAGCCATAACTCAAATTTGGATTTCCCTGGAATTCTCTTTGCTTTAATGAAAGATATTTTATCGATTTAAGACCTGAAAGATAGACAAATTATCAAACCGAGACTTGAAAGATAGACAAATTATCAATCTGAGACCTGAAAGATGAAATGTATCAACATAGGTTTTGAAATGTATCAACCGAGACCTGAAGGATTCGAAAGATAAAAAATTATCAATCTAGGACCTAACATTTCATAGGTTTTGATTTATTTAATTTTTTAGGAATTCCATTGCTAATATTTGGTGAAATTTTTTTCACAAAAGTTTATTAGTTCAATAAAACTAAATATTATTTAAATTTTTTAAAATAAAAATAATAATAAAATTTATGAAAACTTAGTTCCTAAATTGATAGTTTTCAATCATTCGGGACCTAGATTGATAGTTTCTATCATTCGGGTTCTGTACCGATACATTTCATCTTTCAGGTCCCGAATTGATAGTTCGTCTATGTTTCAGGTCCCGAATTGATAGTTCGTCTATCTTTCAGGTCCCAAATTGATAAAATTCCAATGAAATGCAGTTCGTTATTTAATATAAGGCTATTATGGTCCACTCATGCTTAAATGACTCCTACTAAAGCTAACGTACGAAATCAGTCCTCTTATTTTAGAATTTGATGAGTCCTTTTATCCTATATAAGTAATTAAGTCATATGTCAGTTTGTACCCCATATAAAAATCTTCTCAAATTTTACCGCTCACCTCCCTATTTCTGTACCTAACTCTCTCTCCTCTTCTTTCCCGTGCAGACAATAAGTACATACATACATTAGTTTGTTGTGGATTACCATTTTTGAGATATGTTTCATAAAAAAGAGAGACAATACATATATCTAGACAGATAATAGAGATAACCAGACATACATTAATTTTAAACATAGAGAAAATAACTTTACACATACAGACAATATGACGGATACTCAAACAGACAAAAGATCCACATACATAAGTGAATAATTGTCCATATAATGTTTGCAAAAACACACACATGTTCAAAAAAACACAAGTCAATTGTTGAACATTGTACCACATTGAACATGTAATATAGTACAATATTTGACACATTTGCCCAACTATTATATGTAATGTTTGCAAAAACAACACATGTTAAAAAAAATCAGAAGTTCAAAATTGACACATTTCCCCAACACTATGCTTCAGCCTTCATTAAGCTCCAAAACCCAATAACAAATTCAAGTGTTTTGTTCGACATGTTGGCGTAGGCATAGTCATGAAGCAATAACTTTCTCAAATAAAGTTGTTCTGCAAATGATAAGACCATGATGCCACATTATCTGGATCTGTAGTCAGGCAAATAAAGCACTAACAGACGTTTAGAACACTTAACACAGACAATACATGTCATTCCAAAAAATATTGAGTTTAATACTTACCGACATCGGGGCCTTGAAATTCCCTCTTTACCAAGGAACTCCACACAACATTGGGGCCTTTAATAGTACTGATTTCTTTCATTTGATTTGTTATTCCAAATAAATATATATGTTTAAAACAATACAAAACACAACACATTATTTTGTCTGCCCACACAGACAATAGTATACAAGTTTTATTTTCACCAAATTCATCTGTAAATTAACAAATACAACCATATGTCTGAACACTTTTATATAACTACATTAACAATTACTACCTCCGTCTCAAATTGATTTGCAAATTTGACTTTTCTTGGTCAAACAGTTTCGTTTTGATCACTTAATTAAGATGCCAATTTTTAATTATATTCTAATTTGGAGTTTCCAACTTTGAAGATATTTTGATGTAGTTTATGAATTAGAAATTACTCCAAATAGGACTAAAACTATGGCAAAAACTCAAAATAGGACTTACTATGTTTTTCTTTTCAAAATAGGACCAAATTAGTCCTATTGGAAACATACCTATTTTTTCCTTCCATTCTTACCCTTCCTTTAAATATGAGTTAATTAAATGTTTAATTCATAATAAATTCGAAAAAAAATTCAAAAATTCGTAGAAAAATAATTAAAAAATTTATAAAATATTAAAAAAAAAAAAATTTATTTTTTTTTTAAAAATTTAATAAAAATAGTAAAACTCCATAAAAAAAATTAAAAAAAATATGGATGCCTTTCCCACCGCCTGTACTACCTCCCTGCACCACCATCTCCGGACGGTGAAAAATGCCATTTTCCCTAAAAACTGCCATTTTTTCCTGAAAATGCCAAAAACATGGCATATTTCTCTTTGAGAATGCCAACATTTTCATTATTTTCTGCCATCAATATGTCATTCGTAATGAACTTGCCATTTTTTTCCCGGTGACTGGAGGTGGTGGTGCAGAGGCGGCAGAGGCGGCGATGAATTGTATTTTATTTTTTTTGAGTTTTTTATTTTTTTTTTATTTTTTTTTAATTTTTTTTATTTTTTAAAAAAAATTACTTAATTAATTATTATTATCGAAATATTTTTATTAGTTTTTTAGTATTTTTTACGAATTTTTATTATTTTTTATTATTTTATTCAGTGGCGGATCCAGGAATTGGTTTTATTGGGGGCACAATATTTAATAATACCGTCACCTAAATATGTTTGAGTCGTAAAAACACATATTTATAAAAGTAAAACTATGTTAGTTTGTAAATTATAATTTAAGATGATGAATCACACAAATATTACCAAATATATTACTCCCTCCGTCCCCCTAATTTTGTCCCGTTTTACCTTTTCCGTTCGTCCCATTAAGTTTGTTCCATACCATATTTGAGTGGTTAGAATTCATTCCTACTTGATTTACACTTTATCAATCCAATACCAACAACACAATTCTACTTTTTCTTAAAAACCACATCACACCCCTTTGTCCGAAACATAGAGGGATGGAGGTAGTATGTGACAACGAAAGTAGGACATATGAAAAATAGAATGATTAGAAAAACATAATAGGACAAAGTAGTTTGTAATATACACTACATTTCAGTTCTTGCAATTTAAGAATATTTTTAATAATTTTTAAACACATACGGAGTTTTTTTTAGTACTTTCTAAAACTAAGCTAATAAGCTTAGTTCAATATTTTAACTCCCACTAAAACCTAAAAAACATGGAAAAATTTCAGAAATAGGAGTAACAATATTTGAGAATTCCAAAATAGGAGTGTAATGTTTTTCCTTAAATACGAGTAATTACGGTCAAGTTCGGAAAATACTTTCATGTCTAAAGTTTGATACTGTCAAAACATGCCATCAATTATATTACTCCTATTTAAAAAAACAAAAATATGACAGTTCTATTTTAGAATTCTAAAACATTTTTAGTCCTATTTAGCATCATTTATCAAAAAAACATTAATAACTTGAAAGTTGAAACTATCCCACAAAATATAATTGCAATCTTATTTTATTTAATCCCTACATAAAATGAAAGATGCATGCAGAGGAAGTTAATTTACAAAAGCAAATAAAATAGTGGTTATGAGTCGTACATATTGCCTATATTAGTCTAGGAAAAGTAATCAAGAAAATGATTAATTAAACACCCTTAGTAAATGATACGGTCCATAAGCGAATAATTTTACAAAAGGAAAGAAACTTCCTCTTCAATTGAAGCCAAATTAAACTTCTATTGGGGGCATCACTATATTTTAATTGGGGGCATACCTCTAGATTATAAATTTTACAAAAGTATTATAAGAAGTTATTGGGGGCACCTGCCCCCATTCCCTTGGCTGTAGATCCGCCCCTGATTTTATTATGAATTAAAACATTTCAATAGCTAGAAGGGTATATTTGTCCAAGACACACATAATTAGTCCTATGAAAACATAGTTTAGTTTTTGGTCCTATTTGTGCAAAGTGAGTGACTTTTAGTCCTATTTTGATAATTAACCCGTTTATGAATATGTAAATTTTAATTATTAAAAGTTGAATTAATTATGCATATGGATGATTGACTTTTATTATTGGTTGACCAAAAAATGTTGACTTTGCAAAACAAATTGGGACGAAGGGAGTACTAAACTCATCAAAACGTACTACAAAATACGGTTGTAGCAATACTTGCATGTGCATATAGACTGTAGTTCTATAGTTTAAGGTTCCACCAACTATGAAACCATGTTTGAGTATACAAACATAGAAATTGTCATTCAAAGCTTCTTGGTCTGCACCTTCGTCGTTGTTTTCCCTTGAGGTCGCATCCAAAACGGCAATCGGCGTAGGCCCGCCGTCGGCAACGTCACCGAGCTCTTCCCATGTCAAGTTACCCAACATCACCGACGTAGATGAAAGATGAAGAAGATGAAGACGATAGAAATCGTTCGTTGTTTACTTCATTGTAGCTAGCTTGCTTGTCCGGAAAAAAAAATGGGGGGAAGGGTAGGGGTTCAACGAATACAGGGGATGTGGGATGTGGGATGTGGAATGAGAGATGTTTGGGAGGTAAAAAATGGTAAAAAGGGGAAGTTTTTATATGGAGTGCAAATGGTGTACTAATTTGGGGTACCTATAACATTTTTGTTTTTTATTGTTCTTTAGAGAATCGAATTATTATGCGCAAATGACAATTTGTTCCCAAATAATGTTGAATAAAAAATAATGTTGAATAAAAAAATATTTTCGAAATTGGTGTTGTGTTAAACTATTTCCTAAAATACTTTTTGGTCAAATTATAGTTAGCAAAATCGCTAATTGAATTGGTGACTTTGTGGGACAAGGACATCACAAAAAATATCGATCTCTAATGGAAGGTGGCAAGCCTTCCCATAAAGCAGGTGAAACGGGGTAATGGCAATGGGTGTCTTATACACTGTGTGTAATGCCCACAATGTGTCATCAAACTTCTCAGACCAATCCTTCGTATGGTTCTCAACAGTCTTTTCAAGGATAAAGTTAATGTCCCTATTCGAGTTGTCAACTTGGCCACTAGTTTGAGGGTGATAAAGGACTCCCCCTTTATGAGTGACCTCATACTTAGCCAAAAGGTTGGTCATGGGATCATTGCTAAAGTGAGTGCACATGTCACTAATCAAAACTCGTGGCACACCAAATCTAGAAAACAACTTCTTCAAAAAACAAATCACTACCCTAGCATCATTTGTGGGCAGACCATGAGCCTCAACCCACTTAGAAACACAGTACACAACAACAAGAATGAATTTATTACCTTTAGATGTCGGGAACGGTCCCATGAAGTTAATGCCCCAAACATCAAACACCTCACAAGCCAAGATAAAATTTTGGGGCGTCTCATCCCTCTTGGTAACCGTCCCGGTGCGTTGACACCTATCACAAGCCTGCACAAAACTCAAAGCATCCTTAAACAGAGAGGGTCAAAAGACACCACACTCTAAAACCTTCTGGTCTGCCCGATTAAAAGAATAATGCCCTCCCGTTGGTCCGAAGTGGCAATGCCTAAGAATCTCCACTCCTCCACGACAAGAGACCCATTTTCTAATAACCTGGTCAGCACAAACATGAAATAAATAATGCTCCTCCCATGATTAATATTTCAGATCAACAAAGAATTTTCTACAATGATGAGGTGTATAATCAGAAGGAATGACTCCCCATCTAGATAGTTGGTAATGTCTCCATACCAAGGCACCTCATCAGCTATACTCATCAACCTCTCATCAGGAAAAGTATCATCAATGTCTCTCTCACAAGGAATCAAGAAAGGGGTTCTCAAACCTACTAAAATGATCAGCTGCCAAATTCTCAACCCCTATCCTGTC